CGCTGTGTCAACACAGCCGTAGCAGCTTTGGCGTGTTGAAGATTAACCTGCAGGCACCTCATCATTTTATTGGTATCGTCCTTTACGAATTTCATCAGAGTAGCAATGAAATATTTAAATATTATTAAATATTATTTAAACATTATGTCAATGGATATTTTTTAAGGAAGAAGTTAGTGTTGGAATTTGTTTTGAGTGAAGCTAAATTGGCTCCTAGTAAATACTAGTTCTTTTCAATACAACTAATATAATAAGTAAAGTTTCTCCAATTTTCTAAAGTTCGTTTCATTTTTTACAAAATCCTGAGATACGAATAAACACGCAGGCGATTACGTATGATCTTAAAAGATGAGATGGCTCAGTTGAAAAGCCAAGTTTAAAATATGCAAATTTGTTGGTTGCGGCAACTCCTTCACTGCTGCAATTTTCTCATCATCAGTATGTACGCCTTCTGTGGTTACTTTGTGACCAAGATATTTGACTTCACGTTTGAAAAGTGAGCACTTCTTTGAATTCAGCTTCAAACCAGCAGCTTGTATTCGCTCGAATACTTCTTTCAACTTTTCTAGGTGATCGTCGAAGTCTTTACCCATTACAATTATATCGTCAAGGGAGACAAACAAGATTTCCAGGTTAGTCCTTTTAAGACGCGCTCCATGAGACGTTCAAAAGTAGCCGGAGCATTGTAGAGTCCAAACGGCATAACCGTGAATTGCCACAAACCATCACCGATACTAAATGCAGTCTTCTCTTTGTCTTCTTCTTTAAGTTCTACCTGCCAATAGCCGCTTCGTAGATCAAGAGTTGAGAACCATTGTGCGCCAGATAAAGTGTCGAGAGTATCGTCGATTCTTGGTAGTGGATAGCTGTCTTTCTTTGTAACATCACTCAGCTTACGATAATCTACGCAGAACCGTGTACTTCCATCTTTCTTCTTTACAAGTACTACCGGCGAACTCCATGGACTTGCCGATGACTCAATAACACCTTCATTTTGCATACCCGCAACTAGACTGGTTACCTCATCTCTTTTTGCCAGTGGAACTCTTCGAGGCGCCTGACGAATTGGTTTAGAATCACCAGTGTCAATTTCGTGTTTTACAATAGAAGTTCTTCCCTTGAGCGCAAAAATTGACCACTTCTTCCGTATGACCTGCATCGCCTTTCTTTTCTGACGTGCATTGAGTTCCTTAGTCCAACTTAGCACTTGCGCTATTGCATCCTCCTTTTTTGCAATGGTTTCTTTTTTCATTACTTCGGAATTTTCACTACAATTAACCACAGCTGAAACCTCTTGAAATTCACCAATTATTGCCCCCTTTTTTTATAAACTTTGATGTACCAGATAAATTCAAGAATCAGACAGGTATGCTACCATCTACTTTTGGCTCTACTAATGTTTTCCCCAGTAAGATGTCATTCATTCGGATTTTTCTTACGGCTTCAACGACCCACAACTTACTTGTCCTTTCCCCTCCATTTATTTTTGCCCATACGATCGCCTCTGAATTCTCTGGTATTTTCTGATTTTGACACAACCGGATCTGTCTTACACTGTTACTGCGCTGATATCCAGTATTTAGTTGACATTCGATATCCATGTATCGTAACATTTTTCTACTTAAGTCCAGTGTAATTCCATGCGTGATCATAAAATCTATACCAGTAATCACGTCATCGGTGATATCGGCGACCATGAATTCATGTTGAAATTCATAGCCACCTAAAGTGATTCGTTTCATGACCTTTCCTAGTATTGGCGCCTCTTCACCCATTGCAGTTCGAAGTTTTAGACCAGCCAATGATGTACAATTCTTCTAGGCCTCCTTTTATTATCGAATGTTAAGCACCAGTGTCCAAAGTCAAAATAAACGGCATATTGTTAATTTTTCCATCGATGGTTAGGCTGTTGGGTACCCGCTTTAACTGTGAGACGAGGATGATGGAGCAATCATTTACTGAAGTCAGTTCATGCCCCTTCGAACTGACTCTCGTTAGTTTAACGATGGCTTATTAGTCCCGCTAGAATTACTATCGTGATGTTTCTTTTCCGACGGAGAGCTTGATCGTGACCGTTTCCGATGTTGACGACAGTCTCGCGCCATATGTCCAAGTCTGTCGCAGACAAAACATCTTCCATTAAACTTGTTGCCATTTCTAACTAAGGCAACTTTCATCTGACGAATTATTTCTATCAGGTCATCCGCATCAGTTTCTATTTTCCGTTATTTTGCTGTAGGACGACACATAATACCGGCAGCTTCGTACGTCAATGCGCAGTTGACTGTTTCAGAGTAAGTCTTCTTCGGGAACATTACGACCTGTCACTTGGTTTCCGGATCACGTATTCCGTCTATGAAACTGTCAATTTTACTCTTCTCCATAAAATCACTAGAGTTACCAAAGTATGCCAAATTACACAAACGTTCAATATCAGCAGAGTATTCTTGAACACGTAATTACGAATCACCACATCGTTGCAGTAAGGTGCCAGCCGGTCCAGATGCACCACTTTCATTCGAACTCTATGATGTCCCGACTGTTGAATTCGATAAACCGCATCACAGATCTTCGTTCCATCAAGAACAGGGGGCTCCAAACAAACATCACAACATCTTCATCAGACACAAATTGCAAACACACACCGTTCTCATTCAAGATTTTTAATATTTGCTTACTTACTAATTGCAGAAATTCTATAAATCCTATATTTATTAACAAGTTGCTTATCCTATACTTCTATTTCCTCTTTTTCTTTTTACCTTCTTTCTTGTCTTCTTTCTTTTCTTTCTTCCTGCCTTCCCCTCTGTCTTTCCTTATGTCTTCCTTCTTGTCTTTCTTCCTGCCTTCACTCCAGTTTTCATTTTCCGTACTTTTGCTGTAAAGGAACACATTATACCGGCAGCTTCGTACGTCAAAGCGCCGCTAACCGTTTCAGAGTATGTCTCCTTTGAGAACATTACGACCTGACGCTTAGTTTCCGGATCACGTATACCGTCTATTAAAGTGTCGACTTTACTCTTCACCATAATATCACCAGAGCTACCAATGTAAACCAAGTTACACAACCGTTCAATGTCGGCAGAGTACTCTCTAGGAGTCTCGTCAACAGGTGGGGCTCTTGCTTCCAGTATTACCCTGTGTAATGGAGCCATAGAAACATTACCGTACTTGCGCTCCAATGTATCCATTACAGCTTGGTAGCTTTTATGTTCTTCGGGTGGAATTTGTTTTGAAACTTCTGCCGCACTACCTTTTAGTGCCACAATTAGTGATTCCGTTTTCTCACCAATATTCCAATTATTTGTTGCAGCCGCTATTTCAAATTTGAGTTTGAACACTTCAAAAGTCTCGCTCCCATCAAACGTCGGTGCCTGTAGTTTAACGCTTCCAGTTTCACGAATGACTGAAGATGACCTGCTTACCTGCCTACTCTCAGCATGGCTTTCCAATTGAACCGTCTCACCTTTTGAGACCTGGACATTCTGATCAATCGGATCCTTTCTTCTCGAGCACCTTTTTTGGACTTGTTGTAACTCCATCTTTAATTCGACAAAATTTTGTCCTAATGTCTGCGTGATTTCACTAAATTGTTGTTCCAGCTTTTCTTCCAACTTACGTAAACTGTGCGCCTGTTCTTCAGAATTTTTCTCAAGCTTCTGCATCATTAAGTTCATGATTGCCATCATTTCACTATTCGTGTCAGGTTTTTCATCGAGGAACTCGTGTTCTTCTACATATATGTCATTAGCCTCCAACGCCTCACGAAGTCTCAACTGCAGTTCTGCTTCTGCACCACCTGTGCCAAGTCCCACTTTCTCCAACTGCTCTTTCAGTTGAACCACAGTCAATTTTTCCAATTTCATCATTTTACTAAATCCCACTTCTGACACCAAATGTTACGTAATCGCCTGCGTGATTATTCGAATCTAAGGATTTTGTAAAAATGAAACCAACTTTTAAAATTGGAGAAACTATACTTATTATATTTGTTGTATTACAAAGAACTAGTATTTATTAGGGGTCAATTTAATAAAAACACAGCTTCACACCAAACAAATTTCCAAACTAACTTTTTATAAAAATATCAATTGACGTAATGTTTAAATAATATTTAAACATTTCATTGCTACTCTGATGAAATTCGTAACAATTATAATAATTATGCATAGTGCATGACGATTTTTTTGTGACGAGATGGTAAAAGTCGTCACACTATGACAACGCGAGCTCTTACACATCGGCTCATACCAGTGCCTATTTTGCCGGCGAAAACGTCGAATTGATGGATCATTCGCCGTACAACCCTGACTCGGTACCCAATGACTTCTTTTTATTCCCGCACATCAAAAAAAAATGCGTGGTCAACGATTTTCGTCGCCAGAAGGTGCTGTTGAAGCGTTCAAAAACCTTGTTTTGGAGGTGTCTCAATCGGAGTGGAAAAAGTGCTTCAACATTTGGTTTGAGCGCATGCAAAAGTGTATAAATCAGGTTGAAGAATACTTTGAAAAACAATAAAACAATTTTTGACGATAAATATTCGCATTTTTATTATTATGCCAGAAATATATATAGCAGCCCTGGTTTTAGCAATAGTGATTCTTCGTCTGATTTCTAG